CCTTAAAAGGCAGCCTAGTATATAAACCTGATAGTTTATACAAGGAGTTCTGGTTTTAAGAGTTTCCTGCCATTGAATTCAAATCTCAGCTCTGCCATTTATTAGCTATATGACCAGTCAGTAGAGTTTGTAACTTCTCTTTTCCTTATTTATAAGGTGTGAATTAATACTTTCCTATTTCACAGTATGACTGTGAAGATTAAATGCAATCACATTTAAAAAAATACCTAGCCTAGTCCCTTACATACATTAAGTGTTGAATGTTAGTTATTTCTGCAAAAAACAGGAAAAAGGTCCAAATGCAGTGGAGGTGAACCTATGGCACACATGCCACAGAAACCTGCTTGTTATCATTGAAAGCTCTAAAAGGTTCACCATCACTGATCTAAAGAATTTCAAGACATGTGAGTAAAACATAGTTTGCAAAAGGGAAAGTTTAGCAGTGATCTAAAGATGGTCATCAAGTCTATAAAAGATTTTAAAATACCAAAAAAAACCCCTATATACTGTACGTCTTTAATACAAGAAAAGAAACCTAGAATAAATGACTTTAAAGTGAGATACTGGAGTTGCACAGAGGAATGAATTCCTCAATTCTGAAGAATATTACATATTATTTGTTCTGTTTCAGATTATAAAAGTAGAATTCCCAATTTCCTGACAAATTTAAGAACATAGCAGGCAAAAATATTGTCTTGGATGAGTAGTCAGTAATCCTGCCTAAGAGCAAGAAAGATGAACTAAATGTCCTCCTCAGCTGTCTCTGTTTTTGCAGTCTTTTATATACATGACACAAGTACCAATTAGTAAAGAGCTATCTGATGTGTATCTTCTTCATGATCGCCTCAACTAGCTTCAGCCAGTACATTCTTCAAACATACTGCTCAAGGTCTCCTGAAAGAAATTTTAAAAAGCAGGGCCAGGGATTTAGCTCAGCGGCCTAAGTGCCTGCCTTGCCAGCACACGGTCATGAGTTCAATCCCTGGTACCTAAATAAATAAATAAATAAAAATGCAATACTAACTCATAATTTTACTTGGATATTTGTAGCTTTTTGTTTTATGGCTTGAGAGTAAGAATATATAGTGCAGGTATGGTGTCTTCACATGGCTTTAGTAGGAACTAGAAATCATTCTGGAAAAATAGTATGTTTTCTGTCAAAACTTCAAAATCAGGGGCTCAAATTATAAGCCTTAGTATTCTAGCAAATTTTCCCTAGTCCACCTTGGTGTTATGTAGTTAAAGATGATATAAAAGAGATGGAAACATTCATGCAGGATGCTTCTTTCTTCCTCTGCTCCCTGTGGATGATGTGAAAACCTGGATTAACTGCCCATGGCTACAAGTCCATAGGAACCATACACCTGTACTGCTCACCCTAATGAGTGCAACACTGACCCATCTGACTGCCTATACGTGTCCACTTCAAGCCCTAGCCTCTTCTCTTTGTCATTCTTTATGATTTTGTTGTTGCTGTTGTTTTTTTGAGGCAGGATCTCACTGGGTCCTGCAGGCTAGCATTGAACTTGTTTATGGAGCCCAGACTGACCTTGAAATCACAGCAGTCCTCCTGCCTCAGCCTTCCAAGTGCTGAGATTACAGTCACGTGCCACCATATCCAGCTGTTATTCTTTTTGGAATAATTGATCACTTTTGGGACCAATGATGAATTTGTCTCAAAAGCAATCATAAGCTAATGCTCCTGTATTTGCTTACTTTCAATGGATATTCAACTAGAAATGTAGATGAACAGGAAATAGGCTCACATGATAAAATGTTTTAAGAAGTTTATTACAGAAGTTTATCATCTAGTTTATATATAAATTATGTAGTTACAGAAAGCTATTCATTGCTCCACCTTTCTGTTTGATTTATGGCCTTTTATTGCTCAGACAGATCTACACAGGGAAAATAAAGCAGAAAACAAGTTGGGAATTTTGGTAATTTGATAGCATTTTAAAAAACTGTACTAGAAAGGGCAGAACTTAAGGTAAAGAGGAGTTTTTTACAATTATTTCAAAAAGAAAAACATAAATGTAGTCCTCCTGTCCCCCATACAAGCTATTTATTTATTTTATTTTTTTGGTACCAGGAATTGAACTCAGGACTTCCAAACTTGCCAAAAAGGCACTGTGCCTCTGAGCTATATCCCCGGCCCTACAAGCTATTTAAATTCCTGTATTTCAAGGAAGGGAAAGGGATATAAATTATACTCTCAGGCTCAGAAATGTCCCCCTTCTGGTGGTATCCCTCAATGCTACAGGCCCACAGTGTCAAACTGTTTCTGAAACACTTTTTCTAAGGTGATTCTTTTAGATAGTACCTTTTAGTTGTGCAATGTTGCTGTTCAGTAAGCAGTGATATAGCATTATCTGTTTACAGTTGGTGAAAGACAACTGAATGACTTGTTTAAGGTTATATAATGTGTCTGTGGCAATTATGAAAAAATAGGCCTCAGGGCTGGGGTTGGGGTACAACTCAGCAGTACAGCGCATGTTTAGCATTCATCAGTCCTGGGGTCAATCCTCAACACCAAAAAATTTAGGTCCGTGACTTGTCAGCTCACTAAGCTTTTCATTAGCCTACAAAGATAACAGCAGGACCTTACTTTTATTTATAAGCAATAACAACAGTGATGGCTACAGTTCATCAAGTCCTAACTACATACCCAGAACTATGCACAGGCTTATCTAGTCTCTTTTAATCCTGGCAATACTTCTGTGAGGCAGGTACTGTTATTTTAAAAAACATGGTCTAGAGAAGTTGATATCCTACTCAGCTAGGAAGTGACAGTGTTGGGAGACAAACCCAAACCTGTTACTATACCTGTACTCTTAAGCCTCAGTATTGTTTCACTTTCTAGACTAGATAAAGGAACAAGCGTCATTGCACACTAACTTGGGGTGGGTTAACAGCCTATACAACACTAAAAATAATCAAAATAACTTATAATAGTGAAATCTGTACAAAGGACTGATTTTTTTCTCTTACAAACATGTCCAAATAAATGAAATCTCCATCTAATTTAGTAATACTGATAGATGTATGCTGATGCTTCATGTGATGGGCCAAACTAGGCACTATATTTGTAATATTTCAACATTAGGAAACAAAACTGTTCTTATTCTGACTACAGGAGCCACAAGTGACAAAAACGCTAACAATTTAGGATGAAGCATTTTTAAACTATATGCATAATGGCAAGTAATAAACAATAGGTAAAAGGCTTGTAGCACTACATACAAGTAAGTAGTATTCTTTCTTTACATCTGAATTTGTTTTAAAGACCAGGAAATCAAAACATTGTGCTCTGGTTCTTAAAAATTGGCATACCACAGTAAAACATGAAAATCTAAAACCACCAAATAAAAAATCACATTTAAAAAGTAGTACTTTCTATTACTATCTACAGTTTTACGGGTAGGAAAGATAACCATTTTCATAGGTAAAGTCTCACTACAACAAAAATAGTCTGATTTCTGAATTTTCATTCATGCCAATACTGATACTAGAATTTAGACTATACCTCTCAAAGTACATTTCAAATGTTATCTTTGAATTTACATTTCTTCATTTTGTCAATAAGAGACTATTTTTCAAAACATTCTGCTCCTAATCATCCAAATTATCCAATCATTTTTTTCTCATAACCATTTCATCTAAAACTATCACCTCACGTTTTTTGTGAAATAAAAGGTTATTCAGAACCTAAGAATGCAGATATATGTTCTGCCAAATTCATCTTTAAAACAATGAAACTTTTGATAGTTAATCTACAGAAGGTACATTTATGAATATAATTTCAATAAAGAGCTCAAATAAAAATAATCAAGGGGCCAGGGATATGGCTCAGTGACATAGCACCAGCTTGGCAAGTGCAAAGTCCTGAGTTCGAGTCCAAGTACCAAAAATGGTTGGGAAATAACCAAATGAAAGTAAGTCTTTCCATTAATTAAATGTTTCAAAGTAAACCATGTGTCATAAATAGGAATTGATAGATACTACTTTGGAACAGAGTAACAGAGTATCTTACAGCCTAACTACAGGCAATGAAGACAATTACAGAACCTTTATTCTAGCATGGCTTTAGAAACATGTTTTGTTGTTATTGTTGTTTTTAAAAAATGCCTGTTAATGTTTTTCAATTCTTTATATGTTCTGGATATAAGTCCTTTGTCTGAGGGATTGCTGGCTAAAATCCTTTCCCATTCTGTGGGTTTTATCACTTTGTTGGTGATTTCTTTTGAAGTGCAAAAACTTTTTAATAATATGAGATCTTAGTTGTTGAAATTCACCAAAAGTTGACAGCCTGGTATAATCCCAGCACTTGGGAGGCTGCGGCAGAAGGACCCACCATGAGGTCAAGGCCAGCCTGGGTACACAGTGAGTCCCAAGGCCAGCCTGAACTACACATGGAGACCCAGTCTCAAAAACAAAAACAAAAACAAAAACAAAAACAAAAACAGAAACAAAAAAACTATTACAACAGAGTGAAATTCTGTCAAAAAATATTCACCAAAACTTGTCCAAAGTCATAAAAGTTGTGCCACACAGCTGAACCACATTGAAATATTTTGCTCTGCAAGTGCTAACATTTTCCTATTGAAGGGTACTATCATCTTCACTTGTAATAACCACAATAAATTTATGAGGACAGAAGAAAACATACTGGAAATATGAAAGTTATACTTGAATGAACACTTTAATATACAATACATGTGAATCAAGCAAACTGTTTGTTTCCTGGGTAAACATAGTATTGAAGAAGGTTTTAATTCTTTTTTGAAAGAAAACTATTTGAGTAATATAGATACCAATTCACAACTTTCTGTTGAGTAGAAAATAAATTAAACCTAGCCTTGGATTTTGCTGGCTCAGAAAAAAGTCTGCAATTTAAAATTATACTCAGGTAATAAGGCCATACATTCTAACATAAGCAATTTCTTTCTTAGTGAGTTTAAAATATTTTTTATACTCAAGAGGCAGAAATACCAACTTACCAGCTTCGTGCCTCTTTTAATTTCCTTTTGGACATCTTCAATAGAAAATCCACCAAGACTCTCATTATCGGAGTGTGATGAAACCAAAGCAGATGAAAAGAGCTATAAATTACATTTGAAAAAAATTAAGGTTCACATATAAATTACAATAAAACAATGAGTAAGCTGTTAAATTTATTTATTTATTTTTATCAGTACCGGGGATCAAACTCAGGACTGCATGCTTGCAAGACAGGCGCTTATCCAGCTGAGCTAAATACCCAGCCTAAGCTGTTAAATTTAGAAGAAATTCTGTAGTACAAATGACACAGCATTACTGTTAAACCAGTTCTTAAAAATTTAACTGAATGTATTTTTATAAGTATTCAAGAATATTCACATGTCATTAAGACTCTCTCATGAATGGTTTCAAGATCTCTTGGGTGTGTCCAGCATACTTACCATACACTTATGGTGTGCTGCCACCTTCTGGTTTTCTGATATTAGTAACTGTCCACATTCCTTGTCTCTATTTGACTTACAAAAGCCACATTTGCGCTGTCTTGTAGGCCCTTTTTTCTGTTCAATTGAGCTTGACATGATTTTTAAATTGCCTTTAGAATGCCACTTTCAGTCTCAAGAAATACTACAGAGAATAAGAATGGCAAAGAAATAGTTAATGTCATTTTAAAATTAGTTTATACATATTCATGTAAATAGTTTAATGTTTGACCTAGGTTTCAATATATGCACTTAAAATAGTTATTATAGATAAATTAACATTAAAACCCAAGATGCCTCTATTTTTATACCTATAAGGGGAAGGAGGGAGAAAAAGAGAGAATACAATAAATGAAATCTGAAGTCATCAAAAAAAATCAAACTTGCCAAATTAGGGGATGTGTGAAATAATTAAAAACTATTTCTGTCTGAATAAAAAACATAAAGTAGAATATTAAATCATCATCTGAAAAAATTAATGAACAGTTTTCAAAGATAGAAGCTGAGTGCTGCTTCAAGGATACAAAGAATTATATACCTAAGAAGAGAGCAAAACCTACTAAGAAAACTACAACATAGAGGAATAGAGTTCTATAAATGTACAATCCATTAAAGTTCTCATATTGATAAAACAATAAAAGTAAATAAGTTCACTTAATCATGACTGGAACATTTACTTTTAAAATCTGAGTTATTTCCAAGTTTTTAAAAAAATCACACACTGTAAATTTAAAGTATTTTTACTATTCTATTCCTTTTTCAAGTAAAAAGAAAATTAAGCATCTAATAATCTACAAAATGCAGACTTTAGGACCCAATATTTGTAAAGCTATATTACAGGAATTGAATTTACTCTAAGTCTGCCTATTAATTAACAGAGAATGATCTAAATAGTCACCTTCCATATGTAAATTAGTAATATTGTGTAATGGATGGAAATTTTTTTCTGAATGGGTTTTGAATTTGATCAAATCATAATTATACATAGTATAGTCAAACAGAAAAAGGGAAGAAAATCTCTAACACAGGTTTCACATTTAGATCATCATTTTCAACACAGATTCTTCAGAACAATACTGGACAAATTTAAAATAGGTTATTTGATTTGTGTAGTTTTCTCAAGTCAACAGAACTAAGCAGTTCAGGACCCAGGGTGTCAAAACACACATCACAATAAAATCTCAAATATTTGCCTTAAAATTAATTTATTAAATTTCTTCCATTTTTTAATATATTTGTACATTTTCATAACACTTTGAAAACTGATGCACAAACACTAGATTGTAATTTTCTGAGAAGAATTTGTTCCCCAACAAGTACAGTATCAGCAAGGTAACAGTGTATCCATAAAATATTCATTGCTAAGCAATATAAAAACTCAGATCCTTAATATTCACATGAAGCCACAAAGAAAACATATCTTCTCAGTAATTTATATCTAGGCTTTCCTCCCTAACAAAACTTCAAATGCCCTGATAGTCTCTGCTTTGATGGGTTTAACAAACTCTTAATGTTATCTATAATTTTAAATACTGTACCTCAGTCTTCCAAGTACAATACTGAATCCACAGCATTGGCTACAAACCATGAAACTGATTGAAAGCAGGCAGCAAATACTTTTAGGATTAAAGAAAAAAAAAAGACGTAACAGAGAAACAAAAGAAACAAAAGGGGAAGTGTGTCTGCATTTGCTCAGGCAAATATGTGTTCAGTTGTTTTTATCCAGAACACAGCTACCCAAATTTTTAGAATTAACTATGCAAAATATCAAGATTCATAAACAGCAGCAAAATCTGCTATTTGAGTTTTAATTAATTTTTTACTACCATGCAATGAATAATAGGCACTCTGAAGACACTGTAATATATTCAGCATTTCCCCCGTTGAGAGAGGCAAGTTGAAAGGATGGCACATTATAAATCTAATCTGTATAGATATCCTTAATGTGTAATTTCTGTGCAATTCTGGCATTGGCTATAAAACTGGCTTAAGATAAAAAAATTCCCAGCGTGGAAAATCATTTTTTATTTTCAAAATTAATTGTGAAATGCTATCCCACAAATTCTATCCATGTTGGATTCTGCCTTTCAAATTATAAAAAAGTAAATTTCTTATATTAATTGAGAGCCTTTTCTAGATAGCAAAGCCTCCAAGATCTAAAACACAAAAAAGATACATTTTATTTTACATGCAAAAATATTCTAATGTATCTTTCTATAATTAGTCTAAATTTAATGTGTAAAGTGAACAGAGCCATATAAAAAGTACAACCAATTAAAAACTTTCCCCAATATGTAATGACTAAATGGATTTTTCCACTAAAATTAAAATAATGCATCTGTGTATATCTTGGTTTTTTTTTACAGCCTCCTTATAAAACACGAAGTGGTGAACATCACGGAAACAATGACTCCTAGCAAAAATGTCTTTATCATAAAAATACATTTTTATCTAACGCTGTCACATTTGTGGTCTCTAGTTAAGTAGAACGAAGGCATTCCAGGGATCAATACTAAGGGGTTCATAATGATTCACAGCTATATGGCATTTTAATTTTAGTTTAAAAGGTTTTTCCGGGCAGGCAGAGATCAAAGTTTGATACTTTCACCCAACAATGAAGTCTTTTCCTTAAAAGAAGCATAATGTTACAAAGCAGAAATAAAGAGGTAAAGCAGGAATAATAGCATAAAAAACATAATTCAAATATCTGAAAAAATACAAAAGCCAGATTAGCTAGGCTGAAGCAATCAATGCGCTTATTTTCCAAGATGCTGTGAGGAACCAAGATAGAAATAACCTGAAATATAAAGGAGAGCAAGCAAGAACCACTGGAGAGCTCATTCAATGCCTTGTATCCGAGAGCATTTTCACAGAAAAACAAACAAACAAATAAAAAAACAAAACCAAAAACTGCAGTTCCGGAAGATTAAAACATTCCACGCGCAAGCAAGCTGAAATATACAAATCAAAAATATATAAACGCGATCTTCAAAAGACAACATTTCAGTCAGGAAAGTTACAGTGAAGAGAAATAAACGAATAAGAGATGTACCGGAAGGGCACCTGAATTTGGTTGCACGATATTGTTAAATGCTTCGCACTGCTTTCAGAGGTTATTCAAAAAGAAACTAAAGGAATTTTCCAGTTGTTTCAAACCCAAGAGGTAGAGAAAGAATTTGAACTGTATGGGTTAAGACCTGATATTACGCAGTAAGCAGATGCAAATAAGGTTTTTCAAAAAAAAAAAAAAGATTTTTTCCAACTTCCACGCAGAATATTGAAACGGATGGAAACCGCAAAAGAATACTGCGCTGTTCGTCCACATAATAAAGGATGGTAAATGTAACACACCGACCTTCTCCGTTATTTATTCCCTGACGCTAACTAGACGCCAAGATCTCCCTCTAATCAAGCGCTAGATAAACTCGAAAAACTATCTTTCTCTAAAACACTTCGGCAGGCTCCTTTCCGTCATAAAGTCAGAATCTCCTAATTGTCCTTTTCCAGTCTCCCCGAATCCAGGAAAATATCATCCCACCACTTTCTTTATGCCGCCTCCACAGGAGATCGCCCTCTAATAGTCTTTGCCTTATATATCACTTTCGTCCCTAATCCCCCCCTCCTCAGAGTTTTTCTTCATTCCCTAGAGCTAACCCTCTTGCCATCCTAAAAATTTTTCCTCTTTCTCCTTCGAAACTGGAAGCCTTCCTCCTTCTCAAATACATCTTAAGCAATAGCAACGACTAAAAAATCCCAGTTTTTTCCCCTCCTCAAATGTTGAGCCCCCTCCCCCGAAGTATAGGCTTAAGCCTTACCTCCCTCTCTCTCTACCTCCAAACCACTTTCTCTCCAGCCTCTCTGTCAAGTAACTACAATGAGCGGCGCTTCTGGGGTCCCTGACAATAAAGAGAGACCACCAAGAGTCCCCGAATCCCCCCTTAACAACGGACAGGGGCGGCGGCCTGGCCACCGCCATCCTCCTTGTCTTCTCCCGCCGGGTAAAGAATGGGGGGCCCCAGGGTTCCGCGCGTACTCACCAGCCGGGCCCAGAGGCGGACGGCAGAGAAAAGCGCCAATGAGGGGAAAGAGAAAGAAGTCGGTCTCGGTACTCCGGCAGCGCCTGAGAGCTGGGCTCTGTCGCCGGAGGTTGTTTCCTTTCATTCGAGGAGAGACTGGCTCGCGAAGCGCCCTTACGTCGCCCCCCTTACACGCACACGACCCACACAGCGTTGATACGTTCCAAGCGCGCCGCGGGCCCTGATTGGCCACAGAGACGGGGCGGTTGAAGCCGCGGGGCCATGGCGCATGTGTGTAAACCACCCCTTGTACTGATCGGGGCGGCAGGCCCCGCCTTCTGCTCGCGCGCGTACCTTCTATTCTCCGCTCCGCCGCTTCTCCAAGTGTTTAGGGGCAGGATCTGAGGAGATGGAGAAAGAGATTCAAAGCTACCGCTGTGGGTTGGGCTCAGTAGGGGCAGAATTGAGATGAGAAACGTTGGCCAGGGGCCCCTGGGTAACCAGTTTTCGACAGTGATTCGAGTGGGTAGGCCCTATCCCTTGCACTTGTTCAGAGAGGCCTTTTCACATCCATTATTTCATTGTACTCCTGTGGCATTGAGATCCTGCGTTTCTCCTTTCATTACCGGGAGAGACTCAGAAGCTCGCAGTGGAGTCAGCTTGTCTGCATTTCAATCCTGGGGCGAATTGTTTTGACCTCTTAATTCTTAAAATGTTTTCTTGGCGGGTTTGTGTGTGTGTGTGTTTTCCCCCCTTGGAAAGCGGGGATAAAAATAGTACCTCGCGGGTTTATTGTGAAGAATGAGGCGAGAATACAGCTAAAGCATGTACTATCGTTCCTGACATGAAATAGGCTCTCTAGAAATGCTGGGATTATCATGTTAAGACTAGATAAAGAATTTTCTTTAAAACATGCACAGGTAAATAAAACACAGAAACCAGCGCTTTCCTTTTGGATGTATTGGAGCCAGACTACTTGGATTTAAATCTCTGCTTCTCCACTTCTAGCTCTATGACCTTGATCATATTAAATTACTGCTCTGTCCCTCAGATTCATCTCGTGCAAAATGGAGAGCACAATAGTACCCATCTTAAAAGGAGATTCTGAGAAATGAGTTAATGTATAATTTACATAGAATGATGCCTGTCATAATACGACCACTGTAAGGACTGGCTTTTGTTATTTTCTACTGGACTGATAGAATGCACATCAATCTTTTAAAAAGATGGAGGGAGGAATCCTAACCGGTGAACATTTGAAAATGCCCTTCAAGTATCTGTTTTTCTTGCAGTGGGATAGATTTTTACTATGCTATTTCTATACTGTTTCACCAACGTGTTATTTTTCGCTACAATATTATCCTTAAGTTATAATTCACAAGGAAATAGTTACTATAGTGGTGTAACACTGATTCTATTCAAGTAAGTACCAAACAAGGGGGGAGAAATCATTTAGCTTTGTGGAACCTTCAGCCCTCTTACGGAGGCTCTGTGGTGTAGAGGCGGTGGCTGGAGATTTGCATAAGACCCAGAATGTGTATATTTTGAACATTTATAGTGTGTGTGAAAACAAGTCCTCCAGCATCTTTTTCTACCAGCTTTACGGTTGTTAGGCTGAGACAGTTATGTAAGTGACAAAACGCAGGGCCTGGGCAGTGTTTTACGTTGGGTTTTTTTTTTTTAGTGTTTTACCTTTTTATGTTAACTTTAAATCCTCACATTTTTCTGTTTTTATCATTCTTTCATCCACACATTCATTTCAACAAAATTTGATTTAATAAACATTTGCAAAACTACCAAGTTCTAAATTGAGACTAGATCAATACAACTTAGTCCCTGCCTTGAACTCATGATCCAAAAGGGGAGAGAAATGAGCAAACAAAATACAATATGATGTGATAAATGCTATACTAGGGCTATGTACCTAATAAAGACATCTGGCTGTTATGTACAAAGCACTATGCTAAGGTAAAATACAACAAATAAGATACAGGTCTTATCTTCAACTCTTTACAGAGTCTAGCGAGAAAAAGACAAGTAGTTATGATAGGATATGCAATGCAGTGTGTGCTTTAAATACTGAAAAGGAAATGCAGAGAGTTCAGGAGAAGAAGAGATCAGTGACTTTGTATTTTGAAGTTCCATGTCTGGCATCCAGTCCCAATTAGCATGACTGACAGATGCAGGCTGTTTTTCAAAGACTACAGAAAGGTGTGAGATGCTGTTAACGCCTGGGAATATAGCATGAAATCTATTACTCTCTTAATGATTCACCAGTGTTCTCTTACCAGCACTCTTGTACTCTTTTTTCTTCAGGCTGCAGATCCCACTTTTTGTACCTCATTCTCAGCAAAAGCCTTAACTTCATGATTTATTTAGAAAAGGGCCATCTGAGCTAAGCTACTTTATCTTGTAGACCCACCCTGTTATGCTTCCTTCACTACTAGGAGAAAGAGCTGTGTTTTCTAGTTTCTAAAGAGAAATCTATGCTTTTAATCACATCTCTTCCATGCTTTGTAGGAACTGGTTTCCTACTTACTCCTTGTTCAAGCAGCATCAGTTGTTCTGATCTCGTTTGCCTTTAAACATGTAAGATTCATCTACTTTCATTGCAGGACTGTGGCCTTTGCCTCCAGTTCTCCAGTCATTCATCAGGCAGACCTTTACAGATACTTTCTGTGTGCCAGGTATTGTGCCAGACCCTAGGGATTTAAAAAGGAACAAGACCCAGCTACGTATAGAAGCATCAAGTCATATACCACAAATACATAAAATTTTAATTTGCTCAACAAAACTGGAAAAAGAAAATACACAAAAATAGAGAAAAAGACAGCTCCTGCCTTCAAGGAATTTCCAGTCTAAATGAGGAACAGATAAATGAACTTCAGTGCAATAGATGAACTGCTATAATACAATTATGTACTCAGGATTGATGGGCTCTGTCCAGCAGAATCAGGAACTACATCACAGGGAGGCACTGTTTTGAGTTGAATCTTCAAGGACAGGTCAAAGTCGAGAAAACTGCTTTCCATCATCACTTTACTAGAAATATGCTCAAAGACCACACTCGACCTTTTTACCATATTTAAAAACTTTTATCCATCTTTATTCATGAGATCTCTGTTACATTCCACACTTTTTCCATCTTCTTGGTCTTAAATTTTGCTTTTCCTTAGCTCATAAAAACAATACCCTGACCCTGACTGCTATTTTTGGTCTCTTGTAGGTTTCTCTTCTTCTTTTCTATAACATAAGCTGACTTTTCCCCCCACATAGTCTTGTAATCTCTGTTGTTCTCTTGCTCTTCCAGGACCAGCAGTTCTTAAGCCTTGAGTGTGAGAATTACCTAGGGAGCTTGTTAAAAATACAGATCTTTTGCTATCTTCTCTTGAGGACGCTGAAGGTCTGGGTCCAGGGATATGCCTATTTAAACTACCCAGCTATTCTGCTACAAATCTATTGAGGTCCACAGAGATGAAATTTACAGTTAGGAAACTTCTGTATATTCTCTTCTGGAGAGCTGGTACAAACTGTCATTGTCAGTACCTAGCAAACAACCACTTAGTTATTGCATTGCTCTGCTTGTTTTGTTTTTCTGATTTTAAACATGCTTTATTTGCCTTTAAATAATTTATATTAGATATGTGTAAATAAGGTTACAACAAGGCAGTAGCTTAAATATTACCACAGATTACATGAAGGAACCAGATTCTATGTCCTTACAACTACCAATTACAGGTAGAATCTTAAGTGTGAGTGGGACTAAAGGGAAACAGTTGATATAATCTGTTCTGTAATGAATGTGACTGAGATTTTAGGATTTGATTTTCTAGAATTGTATTTTTGCCTAATCGAAACTTATAACAGTGCTGTGATTACAACCTTTAATTTTATATTTGATATGTAGTTTGCATCGTGTGTGTGTGTGTGTGTGTGTGTGTGTGTGTGTGTGCAGTCCTGGGGTTGATTGAACCCATATGAACACTACTACTGAGCTACATAGGCATCTTGTCTGTTAGGATCAGATCTGTCCTTGACCTTAAATCACCAAGTTTGGTACAAGTAAATGCATCCTTTTCAGCAAGTGAGGTGTGACTCCTTTGTCCATCTTTGGTGTCTTCATGTAAGATACCACCAGCATTTCTACTCCTGACTAAATCAAATGCTACATACATCTATGTGCCTGTGACTTTCTGGTTATAATCAACACCAACGGATTGAGAATATTCATTCGACAATAGATATTGATCTCCTACTATATATCAAGTAAAAGTGGGTGTGATACATTTTTGTGTAGTTAGCCAGAAAGAATTAGGTAACCAGGGTTTGGGAATTATAGCTCAGCGACACAGTGCCAGGCTAAACACAAAGTCCTGAGTTTGATTCCCGGTACCAAAAAAAAAAAAAAAAAAAAAAAAGAATTAGGTAATTTGTATAAATAACTGTAAAATTCCAAACATAGCAAGTACAAAAAAAAGAACTGTCACTTCTTTTTAATTAGCTTTAATTTAAATAGAACTTTAAATAAAGTAGAAATTTTAAATTCAAGTAAAGTTTACTTGCATTTTGGATTTCTTATTCTTTATGGTTAAAGTGGTTGGATTAAACATTTTAAATACTTTTGTGTGGAAAAAATGCTATTTATTTGTATGAAATTCAGCCTAAGAAAAAGAAGGGCAAAGTTTGAATCACTGGCCTAACACTAAATAACAGAGTATTATTCATTTGTGTACTTTGAAACTTAACTTACTAATCAGTCAGATGAGAATAATACTAGTTGCAAGGATATTGTGGAGCCCAAAGATAATGATCATATGATTGATTTTGAAAGAATAGTTATTTTTATTTATCCCTTGACCTTCAAATCATCTAGTTGATTTCCTCACTAGTGTTAGTTCCTAGCATTTAACTCCTACGCTGTTCTTAGTTCTTGTTATTTCTTTTTAAATTTTTTTATTAGTACATGTTTGCAATTCGTGCAGTTTATAATAATCTTGGAAGTAGTTACATATAAATATTAAAATTTTTTCATAGGCTGGAGAAAGTAACTCAGTGGCACAGTGCTTGCCTGGTAAGTGCAAGGTTGTCAGTTCAATTCCTGGTACTAAAATGCATAAGTATAATTTTTTTTGTCTTTTTTTTAAATTACCTTTACCTCCCTCTCCTACTCCCCTAAGCCCTTTTTCATACTTGTCAATACTATC